AGGTGGGTCCCTACTTCCGTGGATGACAGGTGGGTGGAGAGACACTCGCTGGCCCTCCTCCCTGTCGCCACGCACACAGGAACTTTTCCCTTTGTAAAAGTGAAGGATTGAGAACAAAAGTTCTGATCTGTGTTTTCTGAGCGATTTCAATGAGGAGGAAGATCCTATGACATGTTATGGGAAAGTAGGAAATAAAATCACGTACAGCATTACCTTAACTCTATTAAGACACACCCAGACTTGTAAGCAGGACTGACTGCTTCGCGCAGAACCATGCTGTTTTCTACCTGTGTGTCTGCTCTGTTGTGTTTGGGGAGAGGCTAGGGTCTGCTCAGCTTCTCTGACCTCTTTATCATGTGGGATTGTGTAACTTCTCTCCTGATTTTCTGTGACAAATGTCTTGGGAAAGATCAGTCCCCTCAGAAGAAAGACATTTGATTAGAATAAACACGCATGCAGCAGTAGGTCTAGGCCCTGCAGCCTGGCAGTTAGGCGGCTCGATCCTGCATGGCCAGCTTAGCTCCAGCTCTGGCCCAGGTGCCTGAAAACCATGCTAGGTGCATGCGTGTGCGAACCCCAGGCCCCCACAGGATGGGGAAATGGAACGGAAACTGCAGCATGACTGCTCCCAGGGCGCTCCCTCCCTCTCTCTGGCAAATACACAGGCACTCTGGCAATTAGAAGCCAGAAGTAAATGTCCCTGCCGCAGTTATGAGGACAGCTTTGTAACTTCGCTTTGGAGCCCACACGACGCCCATAATTCTCGCCGCAGTCTTAACGTCGAAGTGGTATGTCTTTGACAATATTTCCAACTTTTTTAAGCAAGTATTCTTATTCCAAAAGTATACACGGCCCTTGTGAACAATGCAATCTCCGTAAGAAGTTGAACGCTCGCAAGTGAGAAAGCGGAAGGGAGCGTCCCGCAGGCCTGTTGCTAAGAGGGGAGACCACGCGCTCCCTGTTCAGCCCTGTGCGTCGGCAGTCCCCCCATACCTGTACACACGGAGAACAAGCCCAAACCACATGGTATCAGGGGATTCGGCTTAGAGGCCATGAACAGCTCGCTCCAGGGTAAGTCACTGGCGTCTTCCTCGGCCCTCTGACTCAGCACACGCACGACTTAGTTTCAGGGTGGCGCCCTCCCGGAGCAGCCCCCCAGTGTCATGCCCGGCTCTCCAGAACAGCGTGGCGGACACCTGGGCACCTGGGCCTGCAGCTGGCTGCACTGGGGCTGCCACACAGAGACCGTACAAGGGGACTGTGTTCACTGTCATCCCCCGGAGTGCCCTGTACCTTTTCCTGCGTCAGGCAGAGCTGACGTGACCGCGAGAGCCTCACTCCAGGTGCTCCACGGTGGTCTCTGCTCCTGCGGGATCTGGCCTGCATCTGGAGGTACCGGGGAAAGGGCCAGTGTTCTAAGATCAGGCCAGCGTGGAGTACACGTGTCCCCAGGTGCAGCACAGGACCCTCAGGCTCCTTCACAGTCATGAAACTGCGGGCCTCTCTGGATCGCTGTCTCAGAGAAGCCAGGCTGACCCCCAAGTCCTTCAACCCACAAGTCAGGCCTCCTGAAAAATGCCTTCTCCGACATCCCTGTTCACACATGGGCTCCCCTGCCCGGGTTCCCCTGGGCCGCCTCTGCGGCTCTCCAGCTGTGAGCCAGCTCGGGCTCCCTTCCAGGCAGTTCTGGGCCGTGCACTATTGCACTCGAGGGTTTGCTCTGTCAGATTCTGGCCTGGTGTACAAATACGCACACTTTGACCCTCCAATCGCCCAAGTGAAAACACAAGGACAGAAGAGCACAGGGAGGGCAGGAGGGGAGTCTCACCCACAACCCCGCCAGTGAGAGCGAGCCACTGTTCACAGATGTGTGTGCACTTCTAACGTGCGTGTGTACCTGTGTGTGCGTGTGTACCTGTGTGTGCATGCTTCCTTCTAACATGCTCGTGTGTGTGCACTTATAATGTGCTTGTATGTGTGTACCCGTGTGTGTGTGCCTGTGTGTGAGCACTTCTTCTAACGTGCTCCTGTGTGTGTACCTGTGCGTGCGCTTCCTTCTAACGTGCTCATGTGTGTGTACTCTCTTCTAACATGCACAAGATTCCCCCGTTCGTAGACTTTGCTTGCCATCTCCCCTCGCTGTGCCCTGAGCATCTCCCCACTGTGGAACGACTCCCAGATGTCTTTAGGACCAGATAACGTCTCCTTGTGTGGATTGACCAGAGAGCTGAGCGTCCATTTCAACTGCAGACAGCTGCCACGTGTCTCCCTTGGATGTGTCTGTGGCAGTAGGCACCGATGCAGACAGCTGCAGCGTGTCTCCCGGGGAGGCGTCTGTGGCAGTAGGCGTGGATGTAGATAGCTGCTACGTGTCTCCTGGGGAGGCGTCTGTGGCAGTAGGCGTGGATGCAGACAGCTGCAGCGTATCTCTCGGGGACGTGTCTGTGGCAGTAGGCACCGATGCAGACAGCTGCAGCGTGTCTCCCGGGGAGGCGTCTGTGGCAGTAGGCGTGGATGTAGATAGCTGCTACGTGTCTCCTGGGGAGGCGTCTGTGGCAGTAGGCGTGGATGCAGACAGCTGCAGCGTATCTCTCGGGGACGTGTCTGTGGCAGTAGGCACCGATGCAGACAGCTGCAGCGTGTCTCTCGGGGAGGCATCTGTTGCAGTAGGTGCGGATGCAGACAGCTGCCACGTGTCTCCCGGGGGATGCAGACAGCTGCCACGTGTCTCCCAGGGAGGCGTCTGTGGCAGTAGGCGTGGATGCAGACAGCTGCAGCGTGTCTCTCGGGGACGCGTCTGTGGCAGTAGGCGTGGAGGCGAGTGCGGGGAGGGGTGACCTCGGCACTTGCTAGCCATGCTGTCGGTACTCGCGAGGACCCCGGTACAGCTGCGGGGGCATCGGAAGCTGTGGCTGACAGGTGCAGGGAAGGCAGCATGGAGGTGTGGGAGCAGCTGGGTGCTCGCCGTGGCTCCTGCACCTGGGCGGGCACGGCCGCGGGGGGCAGTCTGCCCGTGGGTGGTGCCTCGTCCTCTCCAAGCTGAGGCCCACCCGTTAGAAGTGGAAAGCTCAAAAGCCTGTTTGATTCTGGAGTTCCTTGCTGAGGCGGTGGGACTAAGGGCCCCAAAGCCCTTTCTGTCGGATGTGTGTGTCCATGGTCCGGACGCTTCTTCTTGGTGGCTCCTGCAGAATTAACTCTGTGCTGTTATTCCTCGGATACCACATGGAGGCCCGGACACCTGCCTGGCTTCCTGTCCAGGAAGAGGTTCCTGCGGAGAGTGTGCGGGGACAGGAGCGGTGTGGCTTGGTAGGGGACCACGTGCTGGAAGGGTTGGAGAAGAACAGGGAGGCTGGTTACCTGACACGGGGGAGATGCGTGGGGGGGTGGGGCCAGGTGCCACGAGAAGTGATGAATGACGTAAATTACAGCCACAGGCTGACCGCGACCAAGGCCACAGTAAGAGAGAAGAGGTGGGAAGGGAGGCTCGAATGCCACGTGGCGCCTTCCGGGCTGGCCTCTCCCTACTCTCGCCCCCAGGAATGTGTTGGTCCCTTCTTTATGGTGCCGTTCCTTGGGGTCCCCAGTTCATGCTTCCTTGAGAAACAATAAAATATCTTTACATGGGGAGCAAACCGTTAAAAAGTTTGTTTATTAGAAAATAAGCAACATTTATTTTTCTATAAAATTCTTTGACATGTCCTAAAGTATAAAACTTTGATTGAATTAATGGTATTTCAGAGTGATGAATTTATTTGGAATTTCTAAAATCTATCAAATCACAAGTTTTGAAAAACTTTATCCCATTTTAGATTTGGGTATGTAGGTAGAAAACGTGTAGTTCGAAGAAACGTGTAAAGACCGTAAAGGTCACCCTTGCCCACGGTGTGTTCCCTGCACAGTAAACATGCACCGGTGTACCAGGGCTGCTTTCTCGTCCCGCGCAAATACGCGAGTGTTGACGTCTGGATGTGAAGGCGGCCATGGCGTTCAGGGCACCTTCTCTGGGCGCCGGAGGAGGCTGTGGCACAGTGCCTGTGTGGGCTGCCTGCTGTCCGCCTCGCCACTGCCCATCTGCCCCTCTGCCCTTGCTCCTGTGGGGATGGAGGGAGGGCGGTCTACGGATGCTCCTCATCCCTCACACGAAGGCCGCGGCTGGGCCAGCAAAGGGCAGAGCGGACCTTGCTGGCTCCCACGTGGCCAACTCACACCATGCACGTGTGTGCGTGTGTGCGTGTGTGCGTGCCCAAGATCCCGGGAGGAGAGTGGAGGAGAAGACACTGTGGGTGGCCATCCCCCCCAGGTGATTTCTCACTCTCCCTCTCACCGTCTGTGTCCCTCTCTGGCAAGTGCACATGCCCTAAGGCAAGAGCCTCTACAGAAAGAAAGGCCAGGGGACAGGGGAAGGCCCCGAGCAGACACACTGCCGATTCAGAGCCCAGGCCGGAGCCCCAGCAAGGCCGGAGCCCCAGCAAGGCCGGAGCCCCAGCAAGCCCGGAGCGGGAGTTCCCGGTGTGCGGGGCTGAGTACCAGGCCGGAGCCCCAGCAAGCCCGGAGCAGGAGTTCCTGGTGTGCGGGGCTGAGTACCAGGCCGGAGCCCCAGCAAGCCCGGAGCGGGAGTTCCCGGTGTGCGGGGCTGAGTACCAGGCCGGAGCCCCAGCAAGCCCGGAGCAGGAGTTCCTGGTGTGCGGGGCTGAGTACCAGGCCGGAGCCCCAGCAAGCCCGGAGCGGGAGTTCCCGGTGTGCGGGGCTGAGTACCAGGCCGGAGCCCCAGCAAGCCCGGAGCAGGAGTTCCTGGTGTGCGGGGCTGAGTACCAGGCCGGAGCCCCAGCAAGCCCGGAGCGGGAGTTCCCGGTGTGCGGGGCTGTGGGTAGGGCCCCGCCAGGCCTGACCCAGCCTGGCCCTGCATGCCCGCCCTGTCCGCAGGCGCCTCAGGTGGGCGATGTGTGGGAGCCCGTCCTCTGCGCGGTTGTGACCCTCTCTTGTCTCTCGCCCATCCGCAGAGCCTGGCGTGTGCACGGTGTTCGGAGACCCCCACTACAACACTTTTGACGGACGGACATTTAACTTTCAGGGGACGTGTCAGTACGTTTTGACGAAAGACTGCTCCTCCCCCGCCTCGCCCTTCCAGGTGCTGGTGAGGAACGACGCACGCCGCACGCGAGCCTTCGCGTGGACGCAGGCGGTGGAGCTACGGCTGGGCGCGGGCGGCACCGTGAGCCTGCGGCAGCACTTGGCTGTGCGCTGGAACGGCTCGCGGGCGGCCCTGCCGCACGGCACACTTCCACATCCGGCTGGACGGCTACCTCCTGAAAGTGACCACCCGAGAAGGTGGGCACCCGCCCCCAGGCTGCAGCGCGGGCTCGACACTCCCCACGCGGAGGAAGCCTGCCCGGGAGGCCCAGCTCCCGCGTGCAGCTAGCTGGGACCTCTTACCTGGGACCTAGGGTCTCCCAGGTCTTCCAGACAGGCGGGGCTGCTGCAAGGGCCGCTCCTCCAGGTGGGGCTGCTCTCTGGGCCATGGAGACCCCGCTTGGAAGCCCCTGTCTCTCCCCACCTGCCTGGCTATGTGCGGGTCCCCTCTCCAAGAAAGAGCAGCTCCTCACCAGGCTCTGCCCAAGACGAGGACAGACCCTCCGAAGTGGACGCTGGTTGTCTGTAGTGCTCCACGGAGCCCTGAGCGTCCTGGGCAGAGGGGCTCGCTCTCAGAGACTCCTGGCCTTCACAGGGGCGCCCCGTCGTGCTGGGTGGTTCTAAGCCAAGGGGGCAAGGCTCGCCATGTGGGTGAGGGGCGTGGGGCGGCACCCACATGGCCAGTAGTCCTGTCTACTCTGGATGCTTGTGGGGCTGGTGGCTAGGAACATGGCCTGCCGGGGACACAGGTGCCTGCTTTGAGCCCTCGCTGGGCCTTGGGCACAGGAAGCTGGCTCAGAACCCGGTCCCGGCACCCCGTGTGTCACCCTGTGTGTCAACCCGTGTGTCACCCCGTGTGTCCCGGCACTGGACTGTGCGTGTCCTCTCCACTGGTGCGGACGTCCCCCAGGCCAGGCCGTTCATGGCTGGTGGTGATCCGTGAAGCTCGAGTTCTTTCTGCTAAGTGCCACCCAAGAAAGGCGTTTCAGAAGCAGAATTTAGTGCTCGAGTGTCAGCCAGAAAAGGGATGAGTCCCGCTCACTCACGCACGTCACACGCGGGGCTCCCATGTGCAGTTAGGGCCGCTCGCTGGTCAGGTGGACATCACACCTCTGTCCTGGCTCACTGCTCTCTTCCCTCCTTCTCTTTCTTTCTTCTCTTTTCCACTCGCCAAAGGGTAACTCTCTGGTGCAGTTACCAGAGAGATGAGAGACAGCGAAGGGGGAGGGAGAAAGCCCGCCGTGGGGCGTGGCCACTCCGCCATCCCTTCTCTTCCATTTCCCCGTCCCAGTGGGATGCTGGGCACGTCTGCACATGCACCTGCTGTGTTTTTCAAACTGCCAGGGCCAGGATCTGAACTGCAGTCGGCCGTGCCTCCTTACCCACCAGGCTATAGGGCCGGCCCTGGCATCTTCTTTTCTTAAGCATGATACTTAAAGAATTTAGTTACTGCTTGTTATTTCCCCGTGGAAACGTTGAAAACGCACCCCTTTGGGTGTCTTTGAACCCCCTTGGATAATTTGGAAACGTCTGACAGAGCACATTTGAGGGAGCGTGGCCACGTCACTGCCGTCCCCTGGGAGTCCTGCGTTTGCCCCAGCCCAAGCCCAGGTACATGGTAAATGGCTGGGCTGAAGCTTCTCGGTCAGGGTGTGTGAGGTTTGACGCCTGGGACACTCCGCCCTTCACAGCGGGAGGCTCGGGTCAGTCCCTTCCAGGGCACTCAGTCCTGCTCAGGGAATTCAGACTGCCACTCTGCAAATGGGCCCAGACCGCTCCTTTAAGAGAGGCGCGCTTTCAGGCTCCCGGGGAGATCCGCACAAGGCGCCCGGTTTCCAGCACTGATTCGGAGCTCCTCACCGATCCCTGAGAGCCAGCTGCACGCGGTGGACTCGCCGCTGTGGAAACTTCGTCCACCACAGCCCTGTCCTCAGAGATCCCGGGTCCGCAGCCCAGGAGGTGTGATCACGTTCCACGCCCCGCTGGCTCAACCTTCGGAAAGGGGAGTCTGTAGAAGATGCCACGTTGTGAAATGAGGAAGGGTGAAGCTGCTGAGACAGCCCCACGGTTGGCCCCGGCCCTGGCCCAGCGTGGCGGGTGCACGAGCCGCGGTGCTGGCCGGGCCTCGGTGCCACGCCTCTGCGTGCATGGTTGTTCATGGCGCTCTCAACACTCGGCTGACCTTGTCCTGCCGTGCTCAGACCTTACAAGTCTTGCGCTTCCTAGGGGAGACCGCTCCCCTGGCGCTCCCCTGCCTGGCGTGTACCCTGGGCACGAAGCGTCCATTCCAGATGTCCGTGCCCCCACCCTGGCCTGGCGTCTCGTTTATCACCGGACTGTCTGCTTAAAGTAGCACGGCACTTCCTCTGAGTGTTCTGTAGGCTTTTCTTTTTAGTCCATAAGCTCATATGATCCAGGGTGCCTTCTTAAAACAGCCCCTGAAGGATGAGAGAGGGGGCCGGGGCCCTTCGTGCCTGCGGTTTCTGGACTCTGCTCCGTGGCAGAATCACGTGGCGGAGTGGCACAGGTGGCTGTGCGGTTTGGACAGACCTGCAGCTGCTTACCCAAGGCGGGGCAGGCGGCGAAGGAGAAGGCCTAGCAGGCTAGAAGGTGCCGCCCCCTCCAGTGCGCACACCCCTGCCTCAGCCCTGTCCTCAGCAAATATCTGAGACGATTTTCTTTCTCCATCTGTTCACTTCATTGCCTACCTGAACGAGGGACGGCGGATCCGCCTGGTGGCATCACCCTCTGGGAACGCGGCTTCCGCTCCACCGGGCAGGGCCTGTGCTGGGTGACCCTGGAGAGTGCCCCTCCCGCCCTGTCGCTGCTGTAGACTGCAGAGACACCTGCTGTCAGAGCCACATGTCGACCCCTCCGCTGTGGAAGTGGCACAGGAGCCCAGGACGGGATGGCAGGGGCGGCCGTGGTGACGGACCCTCACCACAGCTGCAGTGACAGCAGTGCCATCACAGCGGTGCCTGCATTCAGGAGCCGGTCACGCGTGTGGAGGGTGAAGAGCGAGTGACCGCAACGCCCATGTGAGGAGGGGAGACCGCGGCCCTCGCACCGTGGCTAGAAGGCGCTGCTGTCACCTGCTGGAGCCCTGCTTCGCGCTGGCTTCTGGTGCTGCCAGTGGTCCCGGGCCTATGCCCAGGTAGGGAGCCGGCACTCTCAGCCCGCCTGCACAAAGGACTGTCCTCAGCCCTGGGCACTAGCGTGACGACGTGGGCTGACGTGTGTGCAGCGGGCCAGCCGTAGCCAGGGCCCCCTCCTTCCACAGCAGCTCTGCGCCTACAGATAGCACAGCCAGGAGGGAGAGGGACGCAGGGTTAAGGACTGTCCTGCTCTGGGGACCACGGCTCCTGAACGAAATACCACACACTCAGAAGAGCCCACTGAAACATGGCCCGTGTCTTCTTGAGGACCTGCAGGGCCTGTGCAGAGGACGCCGGGGCCAGCCGCTCACCGTGGTGACCCCCAGGGGCCCGGCTGCCCAGGGCCCCGCTCACCGTGGTGACCCCCGGGGGCCCAGCTGCCCAGGGCCCCGCGCATTCTACCCTCTGCAGTGATGTCAGAGCACCTTGGGCGGAAACTCAAGCTTTCATGGAACTTGGAAGAGCTGTACCTGCCTCTGACTAGGACAGAGTGGCGGTGGGGGAAGCTCTTCGGATG